GAATGGAATGATTATCCTGGTAATTCGTTTTGTATTGAAGGAAAATCACTTTGGGGATATGGCTGTTCACTGCCTGGAGCAGACTGCTATTTTTATAGAGTATATGCCATCCCAAAGTCAGATGAGATTTTCAAACTTGTGTCCTGTCCTACTTGGGATTATAGTATTGAAGTAGACATAGGACTTGTTTTGAATGGAAATATGACAAAAAAGAGATTTACGCTAAATCCAGGAATGACTTTTAAATGGAAAGATATAAAATTTACATTATTAGATGTTACACCTCCAATGGCATCAGTTTTAAACAGTGAATTTATCATTGGAGAGGGAGGAATTGTAATTTCAGAAAATAGTAATTCTTATCTAGAGTGCTATGAAAATGCTGGAAATTTTTCAAAATGTGAATTAGAAATTAATGCATGTAAAGAATGCTGGTTAGAACAAGATATTGAGAAAATACAATGCGCATGTTCGGACTTTATTATTGAAAAATTAATAAAAGACCCACGCAAATCATTACCATTGGAGATAAATCGTATAAGATTAAGAAAAAAGGAAAACATGATTATTAGTGAATCTAACTATTTACCAATCATGTTAATGATAAGGTTTGAAGATTGGCTAATTTCTAGCAATATCGATATTACAATTTGTAAAATAAATCCTGAATATTTAAGAGGATGTTACAGCTGTATGGGAGCTGTTTTTAAATTTAATTGTTCCGCCGAATATGGATCGGCTTACGCTGAGATAAAATGCCCCGGAGGCAATATCTTTACAGCGAAATGTAATGAAAAAGGGATTGATCAAAAAATTGCACTTTCGTTTGATCATTCGGAGATAAATGAGATTTGTAATGTCTATTGTTCGGGAGGAATTACAAATTTCACATTAAAAGGACAATTAGAATTTATTTTACCAGAAAAGGCAAAGGTTATAGTAAAAGAAGGATCATCTAAAATATTCATAGAAAATAGTGAAAACAATTGGTTGACGAATCCATTTGCAAGTTTGCAATTTCTTGATTGGAAAAACATACTCTTTGAATTGATTAGTATACAAATGATATTTATGATTATTTTATCGTCTGTATTGATAACTATTGCGTTAAAGTTATTTTTTAAATATAATCCATTGTTTCGCGGATACAAACTCGCCGCGTCAGCACTTATAATTACAATGTTGGCGGGAGGTACACATTCTTCATGTGTAGAAAGATTAGAAACTGAAAGAAATTTAATTAACTATAATTATGTTAATATAATGATAGAAGCCTGTGTGGCTATACCTGAAAAGAATAAAGTACAGATAAAAGAAATTAGAGAAAATGAAATAGATTGTCCAGGTTTTCGAGGAGAGACAATTCTGAATAGCAAAAAGGAGGAAAGATCTCCCGTTGAAAAGAGAAAAAGAAACCATATCAAGCAATTTCAGGTCATTCGGACTATCTCGCAGGACTTCCCCTCATCTCTAATTTCAACTACTGCTTCTGCTCCAACAATAAAGACTCAACAAGTAAAAGAATTAATTAATAAAACTTCAATGCGACACAAAAAGAAAAAGTATTCTTCTCATCACACATTCGGACATACAACAAATAATTGTCCAATTAAAGGCAATGACAAGAGCACCTCACCAAAGTCATTGCTAAAAACAAATTCTTCTACAAACTCAAGCGCTCTTCAATTATCATCACACGAACTTGCCAATATGTCGCATCAATGTGCAACTCTCTTCTTCAATGCAACTACTGAGAATATGGAGAGATGAGAGGATTTCTGTGCGGGGAGTGTCGATGACGAAATTGAAGAATTAAAGATTTGAAATATTTTTGATATTTTTTATTTTGTTTATTATTTTTGGAGGTGACTCAGTGAGTCACTTTCCATTTTTGACAATTTTTTATGTACTTTTTTGCAATGTACTTAACATTGCATCATTTTTATATAGAAATTTTTGCCTATAAAAAGTAGGCAGAAATTTCACTTTTCAATGTCTTTTGAGATATTCATTTTTTTTAATATTCTGTGTGAATATTTATTTTGTTTGAAGATAAAGAATTTTAGTTGTGTTTGTGTTTATTTATTTAATTTGTTTTATCTAGTTAATTATTCCGAGGGAATAATTAATTTAAGATATTTTAATTCCCTATTAAAGAATAGGAAGGTGAAATAGTTTTCCCTAAGAAAGGGGAAAGTATTTTTACAACTACAATTTAAATTTAAAAATATCATTATTAGACATAAAAAAATTTAATTTTTTGTTTTTAATTTAAATTTAGCGGCTGTAATTTTCTCCTTCTTCATTTTTATTATTTAAATAATTATTTTCAATTTCTTCCAAATAAGCAAGTAAATTAGCTAAACCGGTGGCAGAATCAATTACATCATTATGTAATGGATTAGAGCCGGAAGGTATTAGACGTCCATTAATTGTTGTTATTGTTATTGTTGAAATAAATAAAAATAAAATAAAAATAATATTTTTAATTTGCATTTTTTTAAATTTAAAATCTTTTAAAAAAGAGAATTCTTTTTTTAATAATCTTTTGTTAGGTAAAAGTTTGTTTTTTCAATTAATTTTCAGAAATATTTAATATTTTTATTTTCGCTAGCTTAGCTCACAATAAGGGAAAAATTAATAATTTTTCTATTTGCTCCTCAAAAATTTTCCCATGTAACTTTCCAGCCAGCCGTTCAAGTTAAATTAATTTTTGAATTTAATTGAGCTTATATTTTATATAGTACTAGTTATTTAATTCCTGAAGCTATACAAGAGTAAAGAATAATCGAAAATGTTGATTTATTCTCAGCCGCCGATTTAACTTTATGCATTATCTGAAGGAGAAATAGGTAGCTATTTAGCTAGTCTAGGTAGTTTAGCTTTAATTTATTTTAATTGAAAATATAAAAAGATTTTTTAAATAAAAATGAATTAATTAATTCTTTTTTCCTTAATTTTTTATAACACTCCTCCCAGCTCTTTCTTCTTTTTTATTTTGCAAAAAAAAGACGTCAAATTTTTTTAAATTTTCAGTTTAAATTTAATTTTTAAATTAATTTATTGGAAATTATTGACGTTAATCAAATGGCTCCCGGACAATCCGTCAGTGGACAATCCGGCAGTGGAAAATCCGTCAGTGGACAATCCGTCAGTGGTCGGACAATCCGTCAGTGGACAATCCGGCAGCGAACAAATTCGTGATTCTTACCTCTACCCGACCTACCGCGTGAAATTTTTTGATGGATTTAGAAGGATTCGGGGATTTGGATGGATTAGATTACATAATTAACGTGTAGGATTATATTGGATACGGATAGATATCGTGGGATTATGGGAAGTCCTCAAATACGAGAGGTTGTTTTTAGATGGATATCATGGAACAACCTCCAAATCTTCTTAATCCGACTATATCCCTTGATATCCCACTTAATCCACAAAATCCCAATTAATCCCCAATTTCCTCGATAAACACCATAATACTCCAAATCTATTGTATTTCCATTAGTTCCACGATATCCTTTGAAATCCCCGATATCTCCCAAATCCATTGATCTTTTAATCCAGCCAAATTTGCCGATTTTCTCATTAATCTCCAAATTTTCGATATCTCTTATAATCTCCACACGAAAAAATGAAAATTTTTGGCCGCGGTATGTCGGGTAGAGGTATGAATAACGGGTTTGTTCGCTGACGGATTGTCCACTGACGGATTGTCCGACCACTGACGGATTGTCCACTGACGGATTTTCCACTGCCGGATTGTCCACTGACGGATTGTCCGGTCACGAATCAAATTATTTAAATAAATAAAAATTTTTTATTTCCTCAAAAATTTAAAACAAAAATAGCTGAAAATATATTTGAAATTAAATTATTTATTTAGCTAAATTCTAAAAAAGGGAAATACTTCTTTATTTGAAATTCTGCTAGAAATTAAAAAAATAAATTTGCAATCCAAACAAAAATTTTTTAAATTTTTTTTCTTGCATCAATCTTCGTCTAAATTTAAACGACACGTAGAATTGCCAAAAAAGGATTTTTAGATAGAATATTTTTAGATTATTTCTCTTTTTTCTTGCTTTTTAGGGACCCAAATATTAATAAGCTCTTAAACTTTGAATTTTTGAATGAATTCAATTGAAAAACAAGACACTTGAATGAAAGATTAATTTAGTATTTTGTCTGTAATAATTTATTTGAGGATTTTTTATTTTTCCAGTCAAAAATTGGGAAAGTTTTTGGTTTAAATAAGATTTTTCTTTTTCCTTTTGTGAACATTTTGTGGATATTCTCTCAAATTTAAATGCCTATTTCTCTATTTAATTTTACAATTTTCCTTTATTTAATTAGTTTATTTATCAACTTTCTTTAAAAATCATTAAATTTAAATATATTTTAAATGATTAATTGAGAATATAATCTTCGCTAAACAAAAATTAAAAAAATATTTATTTAAAATAAAAAAGAATTTTAATTGAACAATAAATTTAAATGGTTATTTGTACTTGCCAGATGATCGATAAAAATGTGTGAATATTAAATTAAAATTGGCGAATAGAAGAAGAATGAACAAAAAAATAAAATTTATTAAAATAGTGAAACCAAAATTTTAATCAAATTTATTTAAATATTCTTTGATATAATTTGTCAATTAAAAAGTTTTATTTTAAAGAAATTCTTAAAAAGGTAATTCTTTTTAATTTTTTTATTTCCTCAATTTTTTTGTAATAAACTAAATAAAGGAAGTAATTAAAGAGATAAATTTAGAGAGAATTTTTATTTCCTTTTGTTCTAGGCATTTGACAAATTTTTAAAGATTTCATTAAAAAGTAAATAAAATACATATTCTAAAAACCATTTCTCCGAGAAAAGTTAAGATATTCATAAAAGGCTTGGATTTAATCTTGAATAGAAAAACTCCTCCAAATTTAGTCCATTCCTAATTCAAAAAAATTATTTTTAAATTTTTTTCAATTTCTTAGGAAAATAAAAATTGAATGACCCAAATTCACGATATAAAACATGCCCAAACAGAAAGAAATGAATGGGGGAGTTCTTGGCAATTTTTGTTAACTTGTATTGGATATGCTGTGAGGAAATTTAAAAAAATATTTTTAGAAATATTATTTTTTATTTTTAAGGTTGGACTTGGAAGTATTTTTTGTTTGGAATTTAAAATTAAAAAAATTTTATTTATAGATATTTGGCGCTTTCCAGCTTTAGCATATGAACACGGTAAAAATGAATAATTGATAGTATATAATTTGAGGAGGAGGGGGGGGGGCTCTCTGGAAACTCCTCCGATTCATTAAGGGATAACTACCCTCTAAAAAGTATCGACCAAATGATTAAAATCAACAAATATATCGCCTTGTAGTTATCTACGACTGTTAATTTTCCAAATATTAAGAGTTTTAGACGTCCCTAAATTAATTAAAAATAATTTTTAAATAAAATTATTTTTTTTATTTTCAACAGGTGGTGGTATGTTTTGAATTTAAAAAAAGAATATTATTCTCAAAATAAAAACTAAAAAAAGGTGCCTTCTTAATTCCTTATTTGATATGCTCTTTGTTGATAGGATTTCCTTTATTATATCTTGAAATGAGTATAGGGCAATTTTGCAAGGCTGGACCAGCTGTAGCCTATGGGTGGATTAGACCTGCATTTCAGGTTGAAAATAAATTTTAATTGTTAAAATAAAAATTAGAAGAAATATTGGGGAAATGGAGAGAAGGTTAGAGAATGCTCTCTTCATTTTCTATAGTCTTTTTTCTGGTTATAAAAAATATAAAATTTAAATATTTATAAAAATTAGGGTATTGGATGGTCAATGGCTATGTTATCTCTTTTAATTGGAATTTATTATAATGTTATAGGTAATGAATAAAAAATAAGTTGAAAATAAATTTTTTGAATATTTTTTTAGTCGCGTGGACATTAATTTATTTGTGGACGGTAATTTTAATGAAGGATATTTTAAGAAAAAAAAAGTTTTTTTTGTTTAGATTATAACTGGGAATTCTAACCAATTCTCATCTTGCACTAACCAATTTAATACAATTTGTAAATTTTATTTAAAAAAATTTTTTAATCGTGGCTGTCACTCGTGTGTTGCCAATTCATTCCCTTTTAATCAACAGACTGTCAATAAATGCTGTAGAGGAAGGGCGGGATTTTTTCCACAAAGAGAAGAGCCTCTCTGGAAACACATAAAGGGAATAACAGATAAATTAGAGGCCAGGTTACAATCCCAAAAAATAATTTTATAAGAATACCCGTCCTGAGGGAAGCCGGCTCGATTATCGTAGGCAATTATAAGGCTTATAGCTCCTCCCTCCCCTCTCTAATAATTATCATTCAATTAATTAAAAAGATTGTTCATCCTCTTTGGAAGATTTACGTTGTTCTAATGAATTAAAAACATTGGGAGCATTTTATTTTAACAGAACTTGTAATTTTGGGAATGATACAATTGCTAAAAGTTTGAAAGACAAAACATTTTCTATTTTATCTGCCGTTAGTCCTGCCGAAGAATTTTTTGAGTAAATTTTAAATATAAATATAATTATTTTTGGGAAGGGAGTATTTTATTTTTTAATTAAATTATTAATAAAAATACTAATTATTCAAGTAAACGTGTAAAATTAATTAACAATAAAGCTAAAATAATTTTAAAGAAATTAACTGCTCGAGCAAAACCTATGTAGTTATAAATTAAAAAAAAAATTTTTTTTTTGCTATACCCGGATTAAATTCAATTAATTTTCATAATTTTTTACATTAATATTTTCCAGAAATTATCAAAGTTTTTCTATTAAAAAAGAACTGTTCCCAAACAATTAAAAACTAAAGATTAATCTTTAAAAAACAAATTAAAAGGAGATATGTACTCGAAAAAACGGCTACATTATCCGAATTTGGAGGTTTAAGTTTAAAAATGGTTATTTCCCTTGGATTAGCTTGGTTATTTACTACGCTGGTTTTGGTTAAAGGTGTTGAAGTTATGGGGAAAGTATGTATTTTGGAATTTAGAAATTATAATGAATAAATATTACCTTTATTTTTTCTTTTTTATTTTTTGGAATTAAAATTTTATAGTGAAAAGAAGACAAAGATTTTAAAAATTTTTAACAAATAAAAAATTCATTTATCTTTTAGAAAGAGTCTCTACTGTGTTTTGTTTCTTTAAGATAATTGAATATAACAAATATAAAGGAGATTTCCTTTTTTAATCAGTTCTCTCTATTTTTGTTTCTCAATATTAAACATAATTAAATTAATTTATGTTCTCAGAACTTTTTTTTAATTTTTTAGATTGCTTGGTTTACAGGAACTACACCCTACATAATAATTGTTATACTTTTTATTAGGTTAATTTTTTATTTAAAAAAATATTAATTTAAAAAAATTAAATATTTAGAGGTATCACATTAGATGGTGCAAAAGCTGGCTTGGATTATTATTTATTGAAGCCTAATTTAAGTGTTATTTGGCTAGCTGAAGTAAAGAAGGGGGGGGGGGATTTTTGGGGAGAAAATAAAGTTTGAATTTCTAGACCTGGAGGGCTGCGGCAACCCAAGTTTGTTATAGTTTGGCGATTGGAATGGTTTGTTAATTAAATTTTGGAAATTTTGAGTAAAAAAAATTTAAAAAAGGGCGGCCTTATTTCCCTCGCTTCTTTCAACGATTTTCATCAAAATTGTTTCAAAGATGCTTTTTTAATTACTTTAGCTGATGCTTCTACAAGTGTTTTAGGTGGAACTGGTAAGCTTTAAAAGGGAATTAATTTTGATTATTAGCAAGAAAATATTTTTTAAAAATTTAATTGGGAATTTAAATAATTTATTTTTTAAGCTGTGTTTAGCACCTTAGGTTTTATGTCAAATCAATTAAATATATCAATTGATGCTGTTGTTCAAAGCGGTATTTAATAATAATTAAAATATTTTCCCTTAATATTTTTAAGGAACTGGACTTGCATTTATCGCGTACCCCGAGGCTATGAGTCGAATGCCGGGATGGCCTTGGCTTTGGCAGTTTTTATTCTTTTTAATGGCTAGTTATTGATATTAAATTACATGATTTTAGCTTGTTACTTGAAGTATAGCTAAAATTCTCCCGTTATAAAGAAACCGTCTCTCATTAGTTTCCCAAAATTTTAACGTTTTGGTAATATTTAGTAATATTTTTGCGAAGGATAAGAGAGTTTTATACTAAAAAAGAGAATAATTACACATATCAAATACAATATCCCTGACATTTCTCTTTTGAATTAAAATTTAAGAAAAAACAATTTATTTATTTAGATATTAATTTTGGGTATTGCCTCACATTTTGGATTAGCCGAAGTTATGTGTACAGCTTTATATGATCAATTTCCTTTTTTAAGAAAACACAAATCTTTGTTGGTTATTTTTGTTTGTTTAAGTTGTTATATTTGTGGATTGGTTATGTGTACTAGAGTAAGTAAATTAATTAAATAAATATCCAAAAATGCCTTTCCTCCCCTAAAAAATCACCCAAAAATAAATATGGTTAAAAATGGGGGGGGGGGAGCAAAAGAAACCCCCTCTTATTAGGATTTGGAGTAAATTTTAAGGAAAGCTTTAATCAGAAGTCTTTAAAATTTATTATTTTTTTAATTTTAAGGCAGGAATATTTTATTTTAATTTATTTGATGATTATACTGCTTCATTTTCAATGATGTTACTTGTTTTGTTAGAATTGGTTTTGGTTGCACATATTTATGGTTAATTAATTAATTTAAATAATAATTTATTTATTTTATAGGTTTGTCTAATTATGTAATTGATTTACAAATAATGATGGGACCAGCTAAAAATTGGTTAACTAGAATATATGGACCTACTGGAATTTGTATACAAATTATTTGGAGATTTATAGCTCCTTTACTTATAATTGTAAAAAATTGTTAATTAAAATTAGAATTAGGGGAAGGGAACAGCTTTTAAAAAACGAAAGGTGAAACGGTACATCCCTGCTACATATGTACATTATTTCCTTTTAAAGAAGGAATATAGTAGATAATCAGATTTCCGGAATATTTTTATTTAAAAAATTAATTCCTAGTTTCGGAACTGCGCGATTCATGTTTTTACACAAGTAGATATAATTTGATTGTGGGGAATCCTAAATTCGAGAAGCTCTTTAAGAAAATTTTTCTCCTTATCCCCCTATAAAATCATTTTAAAACAACCCTTTGCTTATATAAAATTTATTTTTAATTAATTAAATAAAAAGGTTGTCTTCATTTTTGCCTTAATTTCTCAAATAAAAACGAATAAAAGAACTTATGGCAAAGATAAACGTTTGTATATATTCCCGGAATGGGCAATAGTGTTTGGTTGGATATTATCAATGATTTCATTAATATTTATTCCAAGCCTTATAATTATTAATTTAATTAAATTTAGAAGAAAAGGAAAGGTTTTTGTTGAATTAAAAATGAAATTATTTTTATTTTTTAAAAGGATTGGAAAGAATTATTTCAATTACAAACTAAATGGCCATCTTATAAAAGAAATTTAAATTTAAAACAAAATAAATTGGTAAAAGAAAATATTCAAGGAGGGGAGATGAGTACACAAATGTGATGATTTTAAAATGGAAGAAAAATTAAATTGAAGGAAAAATTATTACATTATACATATTCTAACTTTTTAAAAATAATAAAATATGATTGGAGTTTGATATAAAAACTGTGGAATGGGGCCTTATAATGAAAGTTTTGTCCTCAAAAATACCCTTAAAAACTATTAATATCTAAAACTAGCCCCAAATACACCTCCATATTACAAAATTTGGTTGCTTATAGCGGTAAGAGTTGCATAATGATACTTCCAATCTAATGTCCTGCCTCATTGAAAGGTACGATTTATAGTCGGTAAATGATAAAAAAAGGTACTATGTGTTTATATTATCCCCGCATTTTCCCCTTTTGCTAATTTGATCGAATATAATTTTTTATTCTTTATCTAATCCGAATTAATCTTATATTATTCGAAAGCCCTTAATAATCTTGCAAAATTAAATTTATTAAATAAACTTAAATAAAGATTAATAAAAAGGTATAAATTATTTAATATGTAATTTTATATGTAGAACAAAAAATTGTAAACGGGGCTTTTTTGTAGGTATTTTAAATTCTTTAACTTCTCCCAATCATTTCTTGACTAATTAAATTGTCCTTATTTATTATGTATTGGATTAGGGTCTGAAGGTGGAATACGACCTCCATTAATAAATAAAATTGTTGTTGTAAGAAAGAATAAAATTAAATAAATTATTGTGGAAAATTGCATTTTTTGAATTAAATTTATGTAGATATTTTTGAAAGAAAAAATTATTTTAATTATTCCTTATTTACAAATCATTTAAATATTAATTTTGTTTACCAAAAAAATTACAAAAAATTTACAAAATAATTTGCAAATAATTGCAAATACATTTGCTTCTTCTATTTTTATCTCTTTTGGAAGTAATTCTTCAATTTTATTTTAGAATTAAATTTTGCTTAAATGCAAAAGAAGACAAAATAAATTTTTGCAAAATAATATTCTTAAAAATCATTAAGTAAAAAAATTTTTTAATAAAAATCTTTAAATTTTTATATTATGTACATTTCGAAAACGCCTTTTTTCCTTCCGAAACTTTTGCTTAGCATGTTCACCAGAGAGAATAACCTCAACAGCCTCGGAAACATCATTGACATACCCTAAAAAATTGATAGCAACCCCAAAATCTTTATATTAAATCAGGGGATTTCTATTATTTTTATGAGATTTCTTATGGGATTTCTATTATCAGAATATCAGTTCTGGTTCATCTTTATACATTAATTAAGAAGAACAAGCGATTAAAAAAGCTAGAATTAAACAAATTGAAGACGTGGTGAGACTCAAATGGTTAAAAACCTAAAGGTTTAGGCTTCAAAAGGTTTAGACTAAAAGCAACCAGGTAACGAAAGAGTCTTAAAATATGGCACTAAAACGAAAGTTTTTGGGATATAACTTTTTTGTTTTTAAATCAATCCAAATAATTTATGCTTTAATTAAAAGCTCTGGATGTGCTGGTTATTTTTTCATAGAAATTGTTTAGTTTTACCGTCTTTCAAAAAAGTTAGGAGCCGTTAACTGCGAATAATCGTGATTTAACATACTTAGGCGGGTGTAACTTTCTAGGAAATGATCGGATCCTTTCATAAAGTTAATAAAAAGAATAAAAACAAATATAGATTCTAATTGATAAAAAAATTTCTGGAAATGATCGAAATAAAAAAAGTTATGGCATAGAAAAAGGCGTTTCGATGCTAAGCCGCCGAGACTCTATTGACAAGCAAGCCTAAAGGTTTAGGTTTGTGCTGAGACTGAAAATAAATGTAAAGACAAAAGAGTCTTGCTGACTTTTTGACATAATTCAAGACAATTAATTGTTTCCATCTGTTTCTTTACAGATTATTTATGCCATTATAACATAACAACACCATTTCATCATTTTACTAAACAAAACCGAAAAATTAAAGAAAATTTTAAATTTTTATTAAAAATTATTTTTTGGCATTGAATAATTGCCTTTGGTTGTGCAAATTGTTGTTTTCTAAAACAATAAAAGGAAACAAAAAAGAATAAAAAGCAAAATAATTATTCAATTAATTTGTAAGTGTATTTATCAACAAATGTTTTCTTGTTTCGTAAATATTTACCAAAATTTCTACTAAATTTATTTAAAAACTTGAAATGTCTCAATCTCAAGAATTAAGTCGTGTAAATCCTCCACCCGGAGTTGATGCAAATCAAGCAGCAATAAGTTTAATGGTTTTTTTCTTTTATTATTTTAATTTTGCCAAAATAATAATGAACAATTTAGCAAGGCAGGTACTTATTTCCTCCCCCCTCCCCCCCTTCTACCCATTCCGAATCTTACTTGAGGAAAAGTGGCTGAATGAATTTGACTACAGGGAATTTTTTTACAATTATGCAAGAAAGAAATAACTGACCATTTCATGTATCAACTAAAATTCGGACTGGGGAGGAAGGGAATAAGTACCAGATGCTTTTTGTGTTTAAGAGTGATATTTTCAAATCTCCTTAAATTCTTATTTTTATTTAAAATTTATTCACAATTTTTTCTGAGTTTTTTTCTATTTTTAAGGCAATGGCTGAGACTTTTCGATTGGCTTGTCGTTATAAAATGGCGATCAAATGTTGCATGGTTAAATTTAAAATATTTAAAAAATAATTTTTCTATTTCTTTAGACAGCCCTTCGTGTCCCAACTTCTGTTGAAATTTTTTCTCTTTGTTCTTATGAACTGGGAAAATTACTTTGGTTATATACTCGTAATTATAATATGGCCCGTCGTCATTTGGAAGAAGCGCTTCGAACAATGCGTCAATTGGGTTCTTCGTTAGAAACTGAACGTCTTAAAGTTTCTACAATGCTTGCTGAATTGTTGTTATCTGGAAGGCATTTTAGGGAGTGTCTGGAGGTTTGTGAACTAATTTTTTTGGTAATTTTTTTCCAAAAGTTTTGTTTCGAACTTTTTAAGGTCTAAAAATTTTGGTACTTGTTTTATATTTTGCGTTTATTAAATATAAATTCAGGGATTTTTTTGACATTTTTTCAGGTCTTTGTTGCAAAAATTTATTTTTATATTCATTTTCCTTTAGTTAAAATCCCCATATGACCGTTAGTTACTTTTTTAAACATTTTTTATTCTTAAAAAATAAATTCAAAAAAAATTTTTTCTAGGTTTGCAAAGCAGAATTGCCTGACTCTCCTCGTCATCCCCAAGTTCACACAAAACTTCTTTTTATTTATGCTGAGGCCCAATTACGTTTAGGGGAATTTTCACGAGCTTTGGAAGCTGTAAATGCTGGGATTCAATTTTCTGGAGGTTCTGGTGGAGTTCTTGTTGAATGTTATTTTAGATTGGTTAAATCTTTGGTAATTTACTTTAAATTTTCAATAATTTATTCAAAATTTTCTTAAGATTCTTTCAATACAAATGACTGATCAACAAGAATTGGGCAAATCAGTTGGAGAATTGGGAGAAATTTTACAAACAGTTTAATTTTCTTTTAAAAAATTTTCTTTTTTTAATTTTAAACTAAAAGGTAGCTTCAAATAATAAAGACCAAACAGCAATTAACGATATTCGGGCATTTTGTTATTCAATTCAACTTTGTTATTTTTTGGCAATTGGAATGGTTAAAAGTGCAAAACAATGCCTTAGACAATTACATATAACTGTACAGACTGCTGAAGCTGCGGCCAAAAATGAAATGTCTGCAATGAATTCGTTAACAACAATTTGTTGGTTAAGTCCTGAAATGGTTGGTTTTTTTAAATTAAAGTTTCTGAATTTTGGAAGAAAATGTTTTCCTTTTCTGTTCTCAAAAATCAAGGGCGTATCCAGGGGGTCGGTTTCGGGTCCCCAGGCGAAAATTTCTTGAATTTTGAAGGTTGTAGGCGAGCCCCCAGGATACGCTCTTTAAATAAAAATTTTTGAATTTTTTCTGGTCCTTTTTTGGATTTTACTAAAAAATTCCAAATTAGATTTGATAACTATTGCTTTTAATGACAACCTTACCAACAAATAATTTATGAGTTCTAAACTTTAAAAAACATTTTCATTATTTTTATGTCACCCAAGGAAATCAATAAAAGAATTTTTTTCTTCCAATATAATTCAATTTTAATTAATTTCTAAATTTTTTTCAGTTGACTGGGTAAGCGTCTTTTAATTGGCTATAAATATTTACAAATAAAAAAAAGATTTGCTTATGTTTTAACTGTTCTTTGCAATATTCAATTTACCAATTTTGAAAGAGCCCATCGTTATTATTTAACAGCAATTAGGCATTTGGGAGGAATTAAATTATTAATGCAAAAATCAACAGATTCATCTCAAATTGTTGAAAATCGAATGGAATCATTTGTTGAATCTATGGAAATGTTGTTACATGAAGGACTTTCCCAATTATATTTAGTTAAACAAAGCCCAGCAGAATCTCTTTCAACAGTAAACATTTAAAATAAATTATATAAAGCCTATTTTATTATGTAGAGGAAACTGAGTTTCAAAAAAATTTATTTAAATCTAAATTTTGGATGCCTGAATATAGCTTTAATTGTAAATTAAAAATACATTCGAATTCCCTAGCAGGGTTAAGTTTTTTTGGGATATATAATAATAATTTCAATCTTCTCACATGAATAATTTTTTTACAGATCACAGAAATCTTCAGAACAATACACCGTTCTCGTGAACCTTTAAGATTAATTAACGATTTTGGTCCTCAATTACACACAATTCTGGTTTTTTTTATTTTTAGAATTATTTAAAATAAAACATTAGGGAATGTATGCAACAAATATGAAATGTTTTGAGGCTGCCAAACTTCAATTTAAAACTGCAATAAATAAAGGTGCAAAAGAATTGGAATTGTGGACACTAGCAAATTTAGGATTGGTAAATAATTAATTTTTTAAAGATTTTTAATTGATGCTTGGTTTTTTAATGATTTGATTAAAAATATTTATTATAAATTTTTGCCTTCTTAAAAAATTAAAATCATTTCAAAATTTAATTAAGGCATTAGTCTATTTATATACTTCCCGTGATGCCGATTTTTATGAATTGTATGATGCCATTTCTCCTATAAAGCTCCGTTCACAAGCCAATTCTACAAAGTCTGCTGCTCTTTTGGTTCAAGGATTTCATTATTTTCTTAATTCAAAACAACAAGAATCTAAGTATTTAATTTAGTTTTTAATTTTAAAATATTTTTGAAGCTTTTAAAAAATTTCTAACAATAAATTAAAAATACTTTAATTTAAATATTTTTTAAAAAGGAAATATTTAATGGATTCAATTGCAATTTCAAAGGAAGAGGATATGGCTCGTCTTCAAAGCATTGCTTTACTTTTACTTGCAAAATTGCTTCGATCAAAGTTTTTTAAGTTTAATTTTTAATTTGTTTTTTTAAAGAGATGTATTGAATGCTGCATGTGAATGGGCTAATAAAAGTGGAGATAATTTACTAATACTTTGGGCTAAATCAGGTTAATTAAGCAAATATTTTTAAATTTTAATTAAAAATAATTTAGAAACAAGCTTTTTTGAAGGAGGAAATGAAAAACAGATTGGAGTAATTAATGAAGTAAAACAGCAAAGAGAACAATTAGAAATTAATAGAAATGCTTGTATTCAAACAAATGCACATAAATTAATGATACAGGTTTTGAAAAATAAAAAGTTAAAAGTTTTGATTTTAGTGGACTGGTGGTGAAATACCAAGAGAAGTATTGGAATGACTGACAGAAAATTTGAAAGAAAGATGTTTTGGATATTGTAAATATTTTTTATTATTTTTTTTCTTAAATTTTATAACAAAAAATGAAAAAAAAATGAAAATTTAAAGTTTTTTAAAAATCAGCAGGGTTTATTTCCATTTTGAACAACTACATCACTTCTTAATGGTGAAAAGAATTTCTTATGATGAATTTGTAATCCAGAGTCTAGTTCAACAATGTAAGGGGCTGGGCTACCAACCTAACAAAAAAATTTGTTTAACAAACTTGTAAACGAGACAGCGAAATCTGATTTTTGTATTAGAAAAACATTGCAAAAATAGGCAAAACTATCATTACTATTTTTAAAAATAATTTCTAAGATCCCTAATTTTACAAAAAAAACTTACATTTGGATCAAAAAGTAACATATCTGGAGTGTTTAAACAATGACCTAAAAATTTTATTTTTAAAAAATCTTTTTAGAAAACCTTCCAACCTAAAGCAAAAACATTAACTTGATGAAGAACTTTTTGTTCAATTGGCGTTAAAACATAAAATAATTTTCTTTGTGGATTTATTGCTCTAATTAATCCAAAACCAAAACATTTAAGCATTGGATGAATATTTCTCTCTAAAGGAATTATTTCTTCGTTTATTTCTCCACCACTTATTGATTCTTCTGTATTTACTTCATCTGAAAGTAATTCTAATCGAGATGGAAGAGAAAGGTCATCCAAAAGATGTTTTTTCTCAAAATTCTGAAAATTTTATTAAAAATAATTTCTTTGAAAAAATTCTGAATTTTGGAAAAATATAAATGAAAACATAAAATCTAAAAAAAATTGTAGGAGAAAAGTTTGAACTATCTTTCAAAAATACACCGATCAGGGAAAAGTTATTTCGCTAAAAATAAAATTCAGAAATAATCCCAAAGTGAAGTCTTCTGTTAGGCTTTTTATATATTTGTTAAATTTTATAGAGAAATTATATCACTCTCATTATCAAAAAACTATATAAAATACCCAATTAAAATTATTCAAAAAATACCCTTTCAAATCCTTCCTCAATTTTACAAAGAGCAACAAAAGAACAATTTAAAGCACACAACATTAATTTATCATCTACATATCTAAACTCTGGATGAATATAAATTGAAACAGAACAAAAACGAACACGATAAGCTGGCAAATCAGCAAGTTTTAAAGCTTGAAAAAAAATTTTTTGAAAAAAAAATTAATTTTTAATTAACCATTATTTTGATTTCTTTCAATTAAAGCTCTTTCTTGTGTAAATAATTGTGCTAAATAACCAGCCATTTGAAAATTTCGAAGTTGTGCAGAAGTTGGGTGTTTGGAATTTGTGAAACTAAAAAGTTTGAAGATTTTTTTATTTAATTCTTATTAAATGAAAAATTAATGACGATAAAGAATTCCTTTAATTTTCTAAAAAAAATTAGTTCCTAAAAATAATTTCCAAAATCCCTTTTTATTGTCCCTAATCCAGCATTTATTTACAAATTTACTGATTACCCCCAAATAAAATTCTCTTTCAATTTTTACTCAAAAAAACAATTTTCCTTTTTGTCAAATTTAATACAGAATTAATTTTTAACAAAATACTTACATAGCACTCTCTCTTTTTCTAGTAGTTATTGTAAATCTTCGATAATTATTTGGAATCTAAAAATTAATTTTAAATAAAATTAAAAAATAAATTACTTGAAAATTAATTTCATTATTTGTTTCCAAATTTACCAAAAAGTGTGGCTTTACTGTATTTAAAACACGAAGCATTAAATCATAACCGAGATCTAAAAATTAATTTGCTTAAACTCTTCTAAATATTAATTTCCAAACCTGTAATCCATCCCAAAGAATTAACAATTAAAACAAAATTATCTTCTTTATTTGAATCCTCTTTTATCATTTTATTAAAATAATCAATTAAATACCCAATTAATTTTATATAAAAATCTGTGTCGATTGCTGGGGAATTAGAACCAAAAAATAAAGAATTTGGAAGTGTTGTTAATTGTGAAGTGAAAGGAACACCTTTTTGAAAAAATAAATTTGAAAAATTTTAAGGAATTTAAAACCAACCAATTAAAGGCTTTTTAATTTCACATAAAGAAACACATCCAGCTGGGGAAAGTTCTGATTGACCAACATCTGTATCTAACAAAAACACTCTACAAGGAGGCTGTGATGGGTGGAGAAGTGAACTTGGAAATTAAAAAAATTTATTTAAAAAATAATAATAAAATCTAATGTTTTTGGGGTCGCTAATTAAATACTAAATGTTAAATGAAAACGTTGTATTTGAAAATTTTTTCAAAATAAAAAAATTTATTTTGGATTATTTAAGATTCGAAATTGTCAAATTAAGCAGAAAAGACATTTTTAATTTAATCTTACAAAATTTTGGTAAAAGAGGAAACCAAATAATTTAAAATTTTTAAACCAACACCAACAGAATAATTTGACCAGAGAAAGAAATCTCTTTAAAAAATTCAAAAAAACAAACTTTGTATTTAAAGCATTAATAACAAAACGTGAAGTTGTTGACTTCCCAACACCTTTATTTCCAGATATAAAGGCAATACATTTTTCTTAAAAAAATTAATTTAAAAAAATATTTAAAAGAAAAACAAACTTTCGCTTTCAACAAATCTATATATTTTTTCACAAACAGAATAATAATCTTTCTCTAAATTTTCTAATCCTTCAAAATCTTTTGTATTCATTTGATCATTTAAATAACATAAATTCATTCCTAATTGAATTCCAAATTGTGGAAATAGATTTAAAACATCAGAGGAATTATTCTTAATTTAATTTTTATAGTTTGCAGAAAATCCGCAAATATCGTCCGCAATTTTTTGAAAAATAAAAAAATTCAGAAAGTAAAAATAAATTGTATTATGTAACACAAAAATATAGAATTATTATTAAATAATTATTCCAAAAAGAAACGAAAAGAAAGATAAAAGAATAAAAAATTTGCGGATTTTCTGCAAAAATATTCAAAAAATTTATTTTGCTAACTCGATTATTTCTTCAAAAAATAACTCGTTACTTTTCTTATCCAACAAAAAAATAATTTTTAAACAAAAAAATTTAAATAAAAACCAATTGTTGCTGTATAAATCTCGAAGCATTATCCATTTTCGTTTTAATTAAAACAATAGCTATAGGTTTATTATTTTCAATAAAACTTTCAGCTTTTTTAGGATCATTAACAAATTCACGCAAACGACTTGTAATTCTTTCAAAATGTAATTCTGTTGATAATTTGTCGTTAATTGAAAATGTTGCCTTAAATTAGAAAAAATTAAATTTTTAATTAATTTTCAGAAAAAAATTTAATTTTTAAAGGCAAAAATCTGAAATTAATTTGACAATATTGGACGTTTGTATTTGAAGACTAAAAAATAAAGAAATTTGCTTTTAAACTTTCCAAAATTTAAAAATGGACCAAGTTTTGTGGTCACCCAAGTTTTTTAAATTTTAAAGGAAATTCGTTAATAGACTTTTTCAAGTAGGGTAGCACCCCGAGCCTTCGGGGGCGGGAATGTCGGTTTTCGGAGTTTGTCAGGGTAGAGCCCTCGGGGTTCGGGTTGGGATTTTTGTCTAAAAATTCCTCGGCGGTCGGGGGACGGGAAAAAGAGGACGGGTACCTACTTTAAAAAATAAATAAATAAATAACACTTACAGGTAAATATCCGCAAGGAATAGCAACTTTAACATAATTAGAATAATTATACTTTTTTGGAGAAAATAAATAGCCATTAACATTAATATATCCATACAAAACTTGAAAAGAAAAAACTCCATTTAAAAATAATTTTGTTTGTTTTCCAAAAATTAAAACTGTGTGGGAAGGGTCTGTACAAAGACATTGAAGAAAACTTTTAAATTAAATTAAATTTTTAATTTAAAAAATAAAAAATTACTTTCCTCCAAATTTTGGTTTAAAATGTATAGGAGAACCCAAAAATTGTTGTTGTTGATTTACTGGAATCATTTTTGTTTTAATTAATTTTAAAGTTTTAACTAAAAATTGGCGAAAAAATAATAAATTCATTAAAAATAAAAAAAAATTGGTTAAAAAATTATTTTTTGATTTTTATAAAAAATTTTTGAGTTAAATATTACGGAACGGAGATCGATTTTACTGGGAACGGAGGTTGCGGGGGATTCCCCGGAGATGTACATGTAAAGTTTAATAAAATTGTATAAAAAGAAACGATAACTTTAATTAAAAATATTTTTAGTTACTATTTACTAAAGTATATAAACAATTTTCAGCGAAAAAAGACCATCAAGATAAGGATATTCCTCGATAAGGAATTCCCTGCACAAATAGCGAAATCAGAAAACAAATTTAAGCCAATTACACGCTGGGCCCCGAAATACTAGACCTCAGTACAAAAAAATTTTCTAGTAATTTAATTCCTTGGTACAAATATTATATATACATATAAATATCCAGTCCGTACCTCGGTACTAGTATTTCTAACCAAGGATCCCGCTCAAAAAAATAAAAATGAAAAAAAATAATTTTATAAATTTTCTCTATGATATAAATTAAGGATAAATTATGCAAAATTGAATAGAGATTTGTTTAATTCACACACTCTTTCATTCAATTAATTTCTCTACTCTCAATATAATTCTTTGCATTCATTTATAATGTCAAAAGAATAAAATTTTTTAAAACATCAAAAAGGAAATAAAATCAAAATATCTATCTTCAAATAGTAATGTTTCATTGGGACATGCCCAAGTAGGCGCGCGGCCAAGTAGGCGCAAAGCCATAACTATCTGAAAAATTTATGGACCTTAACAATTTTGGTACCAATCTCTTTAACTCGATGAGAGGAATCGTTTAATACCAAATTTGGTTGGATTCGGAAATTTTGAAGCAAGTTATGACTTTGCGCCTACTTGGCCGCGCGCCTACTTGGGCCGTACCCGTTTCATTTACTCTCACATCGTCAACTTAAGGCGTTGATCGGGCGCGCCCGATAAAGCGCAGCATACAGTATACATTTTAGATTTGAGCGAAAATTTAGTTTGTCTTTCTTATTTTTCTGTATTGATAAAGATGTAAATTTCTTAAATTTCTTGAACCACTTCCATTAGAAATTGAAAACCTCAACATCGAAAACTGTTGACAAACGTACAAAACAATGACAAGAAAACAATATTGTTGAAAATCGGTAACCCATAATTATTCTATCCATCACCAAACTGTACAAAATGTAATCGACTACATATTCCATCACACATTCGCAAAAGCAATTCCAAGCCTAGCTAGTATCTGATCTCCTTCGTCTGTTCCGACCACAATCCCCTCTACCTACATTATACATTTCTACTTCGGATAAACTTTAATTCTTGTGCACGTCAACATTGATAAATTATGGATAAAACCCTCGAACACAAAACTTTTTTAAAAACTTTTTTCTTCAACATTTCTTTTGAAAATGAAAAACAAAATCAAAAATTTTGTTTTAATTTTTCTTCAACAAATTTATTCTTCATTCCCAATTTCTTCCCAATTCCTCTTCTTCATTTCTTCATTCTTCTCCACCAACAGTAGAAGTATTTATTTCTTCTTCTCCCTCCTCTTTATTTAAATAATTTTCAACTTTTTCCAAATCTTCTTTTATTTTCATGTCAACAACTAAATTAAATAAATTGTCGAGATAATTTAAAGGTATATCGTTATGTATTGGACTAAATCGGCTAGGTGGGGCATCACGTCCCCAAACATTAATTGTTATTTTTGAAATAAATAAAAATAAAATTAAAATATTTTTAATTTGCATTTCTTTTTATTTAAATCTGAAAAAAGATTTATAAAGAGATTTCTCGACGATGTTAGGTACGATGGTAGCCTTTCAATTTGTTTTGTTTGTCGAGCCTTAGGCCACTATCTACTTCCACAATGGAAGAACAAACAAACATGTCCAGGAGTTACAGTCAATTAGCGACCCAAGACCGTTACTCCTCTTCGAGCGGGGTTGGTGTCCCTATACATACCTCAACAGACATTTAAGTTGAATCCTAAATTTTCTTTAATTCGGGTCAAGATTCGGGAAAATTTGTTTTATTTTTATTGAGGATGTCAACAACAAGGGATAAATAAACGATGCTCGTTCCCCGTATCAAATCGAGACATTTTTGGGCAAACTTTGTTAATAAATTTTAAAAAATATATGTTGTTGATTGTTTTTGTTTTTCCTTTTATATACTTCTTTTTTAGATTTTTTGCAAGATTTGCAGACAAATTTAATTCCAAAATTATTTTTCTATTTATGTCTCTTTATAATTTTTTTGCAAATTAAGCAATTTACATAAATATGTATATGAGACAACTGACGACCATACTATGATAATGATTTTAAATGAATTTAGAAAAAATCTCAGTTAAGAAATTTAATCAACGAAAGAATCATGTTAATTTTCCATTAGAAAAGAATTTTTCAACCTACCTATTAAAGATTTTCGTTTCTAATTAAAGCAAGAGAATCTTGGGAAATTGAGAATTCTTTCCGATAGAGTTAATTGAATTATTTATTGTGGGGGAATTTCCTAATTGAAATAAATTAATAAACTTTAAAATTCAGAAAAGATTACAAAAATATACCTTAATACCGAAAAAGTATAATTACCCCTAAATTAAAATACGACATTAAACTACAAAGTCATATACCCAAAATTAAATTTATTTATATTTAGTAACTTGCAATAATTAATTTATGATTTTTTTAATTCTTAAAAAGGAAATTAATCTATTAATTTATTTTCTGCAAATACTAAAATAGAAAAAAATTTTTGGCTGACGATTATATGAGAATGATTTTAAATGAATTTAGAGGAATTTTCTGTTAAGATTCTTACAACTTAACCGTTACTCCCGCATTCAGGATCCCACAAACACGATTTTGCCGTCCTCTAATTAAAATATCTATTTTCAACTAGAACTGCTTATAAATACATATGTATGTAGTTATTCTCACATCTTTAACTTAAAGTTTCCTGTAACTTTGTCAAATTTTTTCGTTATTTTTACATAATTTTGTATTTGATCGTATCTTGTTCCTTACATAAACAATTTACTTAATTTTTTTGATGTTTTTTGTTTGGAACAAAAATTTTTTGAACAATTATAGGTCACATTTTCAAAATATTTTGCTCCATATAACAGAGATTCCGATTCCAAAAAGATTTGGAATTCTGGACGTTTTTGGGCCTTTAATCCAAATTTCCGAAATCGGGAATTGAAAAAAATTTCTGAAATTGAGGATTTATTTTTATGTCGATATACATATCCACAGGATAATTACTTTAATAATTATTTTCTCCCCATTATCCAATAATAAATCAATTTTTCAAATGATTAATTACTTTTTTCCCTTAAAATAAATGTATTTATTTATAAGGTTGGCGGATCCGGATATCCGGATCCGAAAAAAGGCCGGATATCCGGAAATTTTCGGTTCGGATACCGGATCCGGATATCCGAAATTTTCGGTTCGGATATCGGATCCGGATCCGGATATCCGAAAATTTCGGTTCGGATCCTAGAATTAGGGAAAAAGGAAGAAATCTTGCCCAATGGCCTTCCAAATTTCTCAAAATTTTCGCCTGCGGTGCTGGAAAATGAACAAATCGGGTAGCCCAGGCTTCCAAAATTCTCAAAATTTTCGCCTGCGGTGCTGGAAAATGAACAAATCGGGTAGCCCAGGCTTCCAAAATTCTCAAAATTTTCGCCTGCGGTGCTGGAAAATGAACAAATCGGGTAGCCCAGGCTTCCAAAATTCTCAAAATTTTTGCCTGCGGCGCTGTCAGTGGAAGAACTCTGACTTAAGGACCTCCATGTTTCTCAAAATTTTCGCCTGCGGCGCTTAAAAAGGAAGAAAAGAGGTTTGTTTGTACGATAACTGAGGATTTACCTCAAAATATCTCATTATTCTCTTAATCCCACGATCTCAGCTATCAATTTACCAAATTCAAAAATATAGAAATAGCCGATGTATCTACTACTTCCCCCAAATCCACTAAATTCTCACAAATCATCAGATAAACTACAAAAATTTCCACACATTGATTACACCTAGATAACTGTTAAGCATAAATTCCCTCGATACACTGTTAATCCCCAAATTCAATCATAATTGCTCCTAATCCCTTTATATCCTCCTTAAGACTCAACTTTTCAGCGCCGCAGGCGAAAATTTTTAAAATAAAAATTTCGGTTCCGGATCCGGATATCCGAAAATTTCGGTTCGGATATCGGTTCCGGATCCGGATATCCGAAATTTTCGGTTCGGATACCGGATCCGGATATCCGAAATTTTCGGATCGGATACCGGATCCGGATCCGGATATCCGAAGATTTCCAACTATCCGCCAACCTTATTTATTTATTATTTCCAGAAATTTTTTACAAGTGATTATGTTTTATTTATTTCCCATTCTCCCAACATTTACGAGTATCGCTTGAATGCACTAAAAATTGCAAAAATCATCATCATCTCGGCTGTGCATACAAGCAAAACAAGGACTTTTTCAATGATTGATTACTTTTATATTTTATTTCTTTTCTCTTCTTTTTTAATCGGTTGTTGATGGAAGGGGGGAAATTGTTTATATGGATAGTGATGTTTTTTATTAAGTGACATGAATCGGATTATTATATTTCCGTTGCCTTCAATTTTATATATTTTTATTGATCATACATACATATTTTATTTTCTAAACTTTTAATATTTTTAATCAATAGAATTTTTTTAATAATTTTAGTTCATTTCAAAAAATTTTTTACCCAGTTTTCTTCTTTAAAATTTTACGACTCATTTTAATTTGCCATTTATTTTTTATGGGACAGCCCAACTAGGCACGCGGCCATAAAGGCGCAAAGCCATAACTTCCTGGAAAATTTCTGCCCCTTGTCAATTTTGGTAGCAAGCTCTTTAGCTCGATGAGAGGAATCGTTTAATACTAAATTCGGTAAGATTTGGAAATCTTGAAGCAAGTTATGAGTTTGCGCCGTTATGGCCGCGCGCCTAATTGGGCTGACCCATTTTTTATTTGTTCAAAAAAATACCTTGTTCATTACAATTTAAAACCCCTCTCCCTTTTTATTCCCCAAAACTTTTAATTATTTATTTACATTCACTAAAACTTTTTTTAGTAAAAAATATCTAAAAAATGCCACATTCAAATAACAATTCCAATTCTGAAAAAATTCAAGTTAGTGCATTGCCTCAATCGATAGATGAAGGTCCTTCGCCTTTTGTGCAGCAAGATGTTTCAAAAAAGAAGTTGGTTATGGCAAAGGTCAATTATTTGGACGATTCTCAATTGAATTTTCATATTCACGTAAGGAATTTATTTTTGGGGGGAATTTTTTGTGGGGAGGGCATTGGATTTTAGAGAACCAAAATTTAGAGGGGAAATATCCAGCAATTTTTAGACCCAGATCTGAAGGTACTGCAAATATTTAACTTTTAATTTTCAGAAAAATGCTCTAGGCTCTGTTTTGTTAGACTTAGTGATTGCACAAATGGGTTTAATGGAACGTGATTATTTTGGACTAACATTTTATGATGACCAAAAATTACAGCATTGGCTATATCCTGACAAAAAAATTAAAAAACAATTAAAAGGTTTTTTAAATTTAAAAAAAAATATTTAATTTTTAATATTTTTAGGTGTTCAATTAGAATTCTTTTTCAAAGTAAAATTTTATCCTCCTAACCCTACACAACTTTTGGAAGACTTTTCTCGTCATTTGCTTTATTTACAACTTCGAAAGGATGTTTATAGTGAACGGTTTGATTTTTTAAAATTATTAACTTGTTATGCCCCCCTCTATTTGCGTTTTAAATTATGTGATTTGAGTTTATTCCCTCGTATTACATGATTTTTGCGCTTCATTTAGTAAGATCTGCTGCTGATTCGATGATTGTCAGCAGATTTAATTTTAATTAGGATTGGGGCTTTCGAGCTTTTTGGGTCAAAATTCGATGACCGACTCGTTCTTTCGGACCGGACCGGGCCCCCAACCCTAATTTTAATCGTCAAGATTTTTATACAACTGTGAACACTTTATTTCTACCTTACATTAATATTTTCTAGTTTGCCAGTCTCATTCGCCGCCCAAGCAAGTTTGGGATCATTAGTTGCACAGGCAGAACTTGGTGACTATCAACCTTCTGAAAATTATGCACAACTTCTTAGTAGTGTCAAAATAGCTCAATTAACTTCTGAACAAGAGCAATTTTGTAATAAAGTTGGAGATTTACATAAATTACATAGGTTGGGATTTTTGAAATATATTAGATGTTTTGTATAAATAATTGGTTTATCTCTTAAGTTTCATACTTTACATTTTTATTTTTTTCTGTTGATCCCTGAAAAATTGAAAAAAAAATTTTTTTTGAAAATTTGAGATAATCTGTTGTTATCTGGGGGAAATAAATTGTTTTAAAGAATTTTCTTTAAATTTAAAGAGGACTTACTCGAACAGAAGCAGAATTGGCATATTTAAATGAATGCAAGTCTTTGGCTATGTATGGAATTCATTTATATCCAGCAAAAGTATAAAATTATTTTTTATTTAAAAAAATTATTTTTTTCTAGGACAGTAAAAACAAGCCTGTTCAAATTGGTATTTCTTCTGTTGGAATAAGCATTTTTAACGACCAAATGCGTGTACATCGTTTTTCTTGGGCTGGAATAATTAAAATTGAATATCGTAAAAATAAATTTGGAATTAGATTGAAGCCTGGAGAGGTTTTTTTTAAATTAAAAAGAATTTACAGGGTGCGGCAAATTGGCGGCCGCTTTTCTTTTTGCTATAACTTTTTAAATTTTTAATGAAAATTATTAATTCTTTTTTTACTGGATTCCCAGCACTCTAAGAATTTTTTTGGTGCCAAAAAATAGAAATTTGGTACAAAGATGGTATAGATAAACCGGTCCAAACATTTAAAAGCATCAAAAAACATTTTTTCTTGCCAAACTTTAGTTGATCATAACTTCGTCAAAAATGATTCAATCCCGATGATTTTAGTACCAATCGACTCGTATCGTTCAGGCGCATCGAATTAGCTTATAATTTCATTTTTGAAAATTTTATCCAAAAATTTTGTATTTGCCAAAATTATTTTAATGAATCATTCAGTACGCCATATCTCGGTCCATTTACGGGATAGACACCTGATTTTGGTGTCATTCGAATCAGATTGGAGAGCTGATTCGAATGATATATAAATTTCTATATCGAAATAATAGCCTTGAATCCAGGCCAGCTTTTATTCAAAAAATTTAACTTAAACTTTGAGAGATTATCAATCAGACTAAATTATCAAATTTAAAGGCGATTTTGCTATCAGAAAAATTCTTAGATTGTCAGGAATCCAGCAAAAAAAGAATTATCGGTTTTCATTAAAAATGAAGAAAGTTATAGCCAAAAGAAAAGCGGCCGCTAATTTGCCGCACCCTGTATAAAATTTTTAAAAATTAGTTGGATCAGTCACAAAAGAAGTCAACAACCGTGTCTTATGCTCTAGTTGACTATAAACATGCTAAATTGGTTTGGAGATGTGGAGTTGAACACCATGTTTTCTTTAGGTATTTTTAAATTAATTTTTTGGTTATCCATTCCCCTTTAAAATTTTTTAAATCTGCCTCGCTAAAAAATTTTAGAAAATTTTTATGATTGTTTAATTTTGTTTTCCCTTTTGGATTTTCTATTAATAATTGGAAGATTTTTCAAATTATTTTAATTTTTTTAGACTTGTTCAACCAGAAACTAAACACAAAAATTCTTTTCTGAGTTTTGGTTCTGCACGTTTTCGTTATACTGGTCGAACAAATATTCAATCACAAATGGTCTCACAATTATTTGAAACAAATGCTCCAACATCTGCTTCCCTTTCTAAATCAAAATCTGCAGAAATGTGTAAGAAAATTAATTTTAAAAATTAAAAAAATAAAAAAAAAATTTTTTTAATTCAAGTACCACAAAACCATCAAAAAGAGCCCCAAACACCTTTAAATTATATGGATGAGGTTTGCTTTTTACTTTAAAATTTAGTAATTTTTATAGTTAACTCCACAAAAACAACTTGCCCATGTACAACCACTGGCTACTAGTACTGCTCGGAGCGATAAGAAGGTAAGTAATTTTTTGGGTAATGAATTTTTGTAAAAGGGTTTTTAAATACGGGCTTTTTTTATTTTTATTTCAACCAGATACATGGCTATTCGGTATTTTCCTTTTATTTTTTAATTGAGATCACGTGTTTTCATTTTATTTTCTAACCTATTGCAATCTAGTTTCTCTCTAAATTTTTCAATTGTTAACTTACAAATTGCTTTTATATTTTTTTTTCTTCCAATTTTCATTTTTCGCGCACTTTTCTAACTCTTTCAAAAATTATTTTCTTTTTCTATTTTACATATATTTTGCTTGTTTTGGGTTGTTTTCTTTTCTTTTTTCCATAGTAGCAGCACTTATTTTGCCCCTGGTTACGCGTGGGAGTATTTTATATATTCTTGTATTGATTGCCACACTTTTCTTCTAGAAAATTTTTCTGCCAGTCCTTTTATGAGGTTTTGGCCATAAAAATTTTGGACATTTGAATTCTCTTCTGTTTATTTTTGCTTTTTAATGGGCTTTTTTATAGTATTGTTTTCAATTACTGTGTTGATTCTTTTTTCTTATTTCTATTCGGAATGAGAAAAACTTCACTGATTTTTATGATTTTCTTGCTTATCCCATCCATTCTAATATTATTTTCATAGACATTTATTTTTGAGATTCTCTTATAATGTCAATAAACGATTTGCCTTCAACCTCTTCAAACATTCTTCCCTCCCAACAACCAGAAAATATTAATTTACCTCTACTTTTTCGACATTTTGATTTACAATATTCTCCAATAGACAACCATGTTACTCTCTACAATTCTGGTCTATACTTTGAGACTGATATTTCTCGCCGTTTAAATAGTTTTGGTGTATCAATAGCTAAAGGAAGTCATCATCGTTTTCAAAATAAAAACAATCTTTTTACTCGAATTTGGCCATATAATGAACAAAAACATTCGGAGAATAAAATTATTTCAAAATTTATTCATTTAACTCCACATAAACATTCTTCATTACTTCATCATATTAATTGTCAGGAAGATTTGCCATATTTTCCAATTATTTATTTTGTTGCTGTTCGACATTCTGGTTTTTCTAAAAGTCCAATTAAAGAAAAGAAAGTTTACAAAAAATTAACGAAAGAATGTTTTGATGTTGATAACAAGAAGAAAAATAATAATTTATTTTCTTCTTCTACAACTTATTCAACGCTTCCAAGAGGAATATGTTTTGATCCATTAAGGCTTGAAAAAGTTAAAGAACTTCCTACAGTCGCACTTTATTCTCTTTGCAGTTATCGTGCTAGAAAATGGAGGGATTGTGAAAAAACAAAAAGAATAAGATTTTCCTTCCTTTCAACAATTTTCCCCCTCTTGAGAATCTCCTCATCAGCTATTTCTACCTCCAAATCTTTACCAATTATTCCTTCTGAACTTCAACAGCCCCAAAAACCTCTCGAAAATTTAACACCAATAAATATATTATCTCGTAAAATTGAATTTCAACATTGTCCAATTGAAAATAAAATAATTCCTCCACAAATAAATAAAAGTGAAGATAAAAAACAAGAAGACAATAAACAACAAAAATTTGAAGCTTTTATTGTTTTAAAATCCCGTACATCACCAGAAACTAAACTTAAATCTAAAAAGGTTCTTGGATATTTAAAATTATATTTTACCTTTTTTCTATCTCTACTCTTTATTTTCTATTATTTTTATTTTATTTCTAACATTTTTTAAATTGTTTTCTTTTTTTCTTTTTTATTGAAAGTTGTTTGATTTAATTATTTTGAAATAAATTTTAAAAAATATTCTAGAGTCAGGGTTCCTTTAATTTTTTTTAATTTTAAATAAAAATCTTTTAATTATTTTTAAGTATGAAGAACCTAATAAAGACAAAAAAGATAAGAAGAAGAAGAAAAATAAAGAAAAGAAGCAAACTGCTGGAATTTCTTCTGCTTCAACTTCGTCTTCTTCCTCTTCAAGTTCGGATGCTGAAACAGAGGAAATACACATTGTTTCTGGTGAAGGACAAAATTTACAGACATCGAAACAAAAGGTGGAGAGGAATTTGAAATAAATTTTTTAAATAAATTAATCCCTCAATAGGTTACCCCTACTCCTCCACCATCTGCACAGCAACAGACAACTTTGGAAACTTGCCATGAAGAGATTATTGGCCCAGAACAAGTTACGACAGAAGTTGATGCTGACGGAAATATTATAAAGTATTTCTGCTTAAAAAATAAAATTAAAAAAAATTATTTTTAGGCGTGTTGTTCGAACCGAACAGATTCGCCATACTGTCCAGTCTCACTCTGTCCAATCTGTTCCTGTTGAGGATAATGGAAAATTTGAAAATGTTGGTTTTAATTTTTTAAAATTGTGTAATACTTTTTTTGAATTTATGGATTAATTTAAATATTTATTTTTATAACGAACTTTTTGGAATATTTAAATTCACTACCGAGTGAAATATCCCTTAAATAATTTTTAAATTTTTTTTAAAGTCTACAACAACTGCAGTCAATAATTCCCTTCCATTTTCTAATGGCCATCATTTAATTGGCTCCAATGAAGAAGCTAAAGGGGAATTAGTTTCTTCAAAAGTTGTAACTACAGGAAATAGAACTGTGGAGACTTTAACGGTTAATTATTGACAATTATTTTTTAAATAATTATTTTTTTAGTACAAAACAGAAAAAGATGGAATTACGGAGACAAGAGTTGAACATCGAATAACTATTCATAGCAATGAAGAAATTGACCACGATTCGGTAATTTTTGAATAAATTTTTTGAATAAAAAATAATTAATTAAAAGGAATTGAGTAAAGCTATATTAGAAGCGACAAGTATGAATCCAGAATTAAAAGTTGAAAAGGTGGAAGTTTCAAAGAAATGAAAATAAGGGTGATTAAAAGGGGAAAATACTGACTGCCAAATTAAAAAATGAGAGTAACAAAAAGAATTTAAAATTAATTATTTCTTTTATTTATTTTAAATTTCGTCTCTTTTTGAATTAAAATAATTTTTCTTTAAAAATATATTTAATTCTCCCTTCTTTTCGAGAAAAATTTAAATTTGTTGATTTTGCCACTTCAAATTGAGTGAAAAAATTTTCAAGATGGAAATTAGTTAATTTAGAATTTCAAAAAATTTCTAAGAGCGTGGCAGAATTAAGAATAAATTTTTCTTTATTTTTAAATAACTCCCTCCCTATATCTAAATATTTATTTTATTTTTTGGCTTCAAATCAGCAAAAGTCCTTTTTTTCTTTTATGACATCGCCATTTATCATTATTTATTTTTAAAAGTGCTTGTCTAAATATTTATTTGGTGTGTTTTAAAGTTTTTTTTAAATAATTTTTTTTTCGATTTGAAAAACTTTCAATCACACAATTTATAAAAGCTTTATTTTCTTCTCTCTCCCACAAAATTTAATGTAAAATATTTCAATTAATTTGTTGCTTAAAACTGACTTGATAATGTATTTACACAATGCTTGTAAACAAATATATCTATATATTTTTTTCTTTTTCCAATTTTGCATAATTTTAAAATTAAAAAAAGTTTTCTTTTGCTTTGAAATAAACTTTAAAAATTAATTTTGTTAATTTTCTTTTGAATTTTTAAAGGCTTTTACCTACGATTTATGCCAACAATTTTCCTTGTGTTAATTAAAGGCAAACTAAAAATACTTTATTTTCAGTCTTAAATAATTTTAATTTCAAAATTTAATTCTTAAAAAGAAGCTAAAGCAAAAATGGTAATTAAATATATGTATTCATTCTCTTTTTAAAAAGTTTTTCTTTAGAAATTTCACTTCAATGGCGGACTCGATTGCCCAGAATGGGTTCTTTCACAAATTTCGCGAATTTCAAAAATTGTTTTTTTAAATAAAAAATAAAATTTAATTAAAAAATTAATATTTAGAGTTTAAACGAATTTAAGGAATTATGCTCAAAAATTGTAGAAATTTTTGAAAATAAAACTGACAAATGGGAGGAAATGAAATTTTCGTTTAATGATAATTCTGCTAATGGTAAAAATGAAAAAAATAAATTTTAATTTAATTAAAAGGGCTTCGAATCTCCAAAGCAATTATTGCAACGCTCAGTTTTATACTAGAAAAGGCAACAAATTATGATTGTGAACAAGATGGTGATTTTTTTGAAGAATTATATTTTTATTAAATAAGGGGTGGGCAAAATCGGGAAAAAACATTTCAATTATAAATATCATTAAAATCCAAAAAAAATTTTTCTCAGATTTAGAAGCAGAAATGCTTCAACTTGGACTTCCTGCAGGTCTTTGAAATTTAATTTTTTTAATAAAGTAAAAAAATAATTTAAAGAGCACACAAAAATCTTACTTAACAACTACAATAAAATAAAAAATTTCCATATATTTAAAGAATATCCATTCAAAGGTTTTTCTAAAAGATCCTATAAAACCTTGATTTTAACACCTTAAGCCCCTCCAATAAAAATATCTTCAATTGAAAAACTTCAAACAAATGAGGGAGAAGAACAACAATTTTTACTTTCCACAAAAGAAATTAAATTTACATTGGAAGAGGAATTACTTCAAAAACTTAAAAAAGGTTTTCTTCTTAATTTAATAAAATTAATATTTAAATTAAATTAGATATGGGGGCAGCGCTTAAACAACTTGAGACATTTTCTTCTTAATTAACTGACGAAAACAAAAAATTTTTTAAATTTTCTTTTTTAAAAAAATATCGGTTTATATTATTCATAAATAAAGTGAATAATGAGATAAATTATTTTTTTGAATCCTGATAAATAATCAAGGAAAAAAAAACTGAAAATTCTTATAATATCAAAATTCATTTTTAGGTCAAAAAAAGGAAGGAAAATCCCAATTTCCTTAAAACAAATATTTTAGAGAGAATGTTCGTTATTTTTATCAAAAATGGCCCCCAATCATTCTTTTGCTTCCTCTGCCACTTTCTTCTCCTTCCCATCTCCAACCATCTCGCCGTTGGTTGCCGAATCTTTACCTTCATCCTTCCCTTCCTTTTCAGCTTTCTTCCCTTCTTTGGGTATTCCCTCATTCTCGTCATCTACATCTTCCAAATCACCCATTTCGTCATCTTAAAATTAAAAATATTTTTTTGTTGGGAAGTATAATTTGAAACAAGACCCAAGTTTAATAAATATAGTAATTCGTTTCTTAAATATCGCTAAGATGTCCGTGGCATATTTTGTGGGTAAAATAACAACACCAGTCTTCCCCGAATTAATATACAAAAATTATACCATAGTCGTGGTCATCATCACCCAAATCAAGATCATCATAACCTTTACCGCCACCACCTGGAAGGCCAAAACTTGAAAAGTCCATATCACGCATATCTGTATTTTCGATTTATTTTTAACTAATACACAAAAACACAAACCGTCTTTGTCATCTTCATCCTGGTCCTTCCACTTGTCAAAGTCAATCTTTATCCATGGAACCTAAAAGTTTAAATATTTTATTTAATAGTTCGAAAAAAATTGGATTTAAAAGTAATTTTTTGTCAAAAAATTGGACGCCGATTATAATTTTTCAAAAATTTTTGCTCTTCAAAACAAATCCAAAGATTAACAGCTTATTGCCCCCATAAATATTGACAAGAATTAAAAAAAATGAACTAAAATTTTTAATCCGTACCAAGATTTATTACTCTTAACTTGTTCCCACTAAAATAAATTTAAAAATTCCAACCTTTCCCGAAACTTTCAAAAGACGTGGCCACCATTCTTCAGTTTCTTTTGGAATAACAAATTCAATCCTTCGGTCAGTTTCAATTTTTCTACGTTCAGCACCTTTCAACTTTCCAAACAAAACAAGATCTGCCTCATATTTGTTTCCACCTTTTTCTCCTCTAAAAATTTTTTTTCAATTTTTTTAAATTTTAATTTTTATTTACTTTAATTTAAATTTGTCATCTTCACAACAGAGTTCGTCAATTTTTAAGCCACCATCTTCAATTGTCAAAAAAATTTGTCCAGCACGTTGTGCCCAAAGAATTGATGGATGTTTAACAACTAAAGTCATTATGTATAATTTTTAGCTGCAAAATTAGAAAAGATTAAAGAGAATAATTATTTATTTATCTAAAATGAGAATATTTTAGTGAGTGATTTGTTGGACATTGGAAAAAAAGAAAAATAAATGAAAGAGAAAATAATATTTTTTGATGTTCTGTCAACCTTCTAGAATAAAAAATGGCCATTTGAGTCAAACAGAGAGGGAGATATAGAACGGAGTTTGAGACCCTCACTCCACCCTACCTAAATTTTGGATGAGTGCCCCTAATAAAAAAAATTGTTAAGATATGTATATACAAAATATAAATTGATTAAATAGGAATAATTAATTAAAAAAATATTTTTAAGCATTTTATACATAAATATAAATTCAAATTTGTCATAAATAAATTAATATAAGGGAATAATACCTTTTTAATATTGATTTTGTTTATTATTTATTTTTGTTTTTAGCTTTTCCAACAATTTATAGTCAACGTAAATGTATGGGTTTTCTGGCAAAACCTTCCCTCTTTTGTCGAGAAAGCTTCAAATAAAAATTATTTTGAAAATTAATTTATTTAAAAATTTTATTTTTCTCTCTTTCCCACCAAATACATTTTGTGTACACCCTACACTTATTTATTTAGTGGTTCAATTTTAGCTCATAATATCTATATTTGGCTTCTATCCAATTTAGCTTTATTCAATAATTAAAGAAATGGAGAAATTAGAAATTTTAGAGATTTTTAAAAACCTTATCGGTTCAGGAGAACACAAAGCTTTCTTCAAATTTTTAGAACGACTTCCAGCGTCAAAAGGATTTCTGACATAATCAAAAGTACATTTATAATCCTCATAACTTGTAATTCCCTTCAAAACCAGTGGTGTATGGTCATAAATCACTAAAAATAATTTTATAAACCCTTATTAACTTAAAATTAACATACTCATCGTAACACCAATAAAAGACGCGAGGAAAGGTAAAACTAAAAATAAAATTTTTTAAAATATTTCCATTGACTCAGATTTATGTAAATGGCCAATTCTTTTAATTTTGGGAGGCCAGAGTGCCAGCCAGATTTCTTCCTTTTTCAGCGCAGCAGGCGAGAATTTTGAGAATCCTGGTCTGGAATAAAGGTTTCTGAAAAATGCCACAAAGTTCAAAATCTTCTTACGAGACTTTTGGGAGATAATAAAAATTCAAAAAATACTTAATACAACAGGAATTGGGTTGTCCAAAAGTGAATCTAGAAACGCGCCATCCTTTTCAGCCATTACTGTAAATTGAATTCAAAAATAAATGAAAAACAAAAAAAGAACCAACCCAAATAAAAATGCAAACAAATACAAATAATTGCAAAAAAGCTTGTGACAGCAACAAAAGTAATAAAAAGATAAAAATGACGAAAGTTTCGTGCTCCAACACAGTTACCAATCCATGGGCAATGATCTAAATATTTGAAATTTAAACCTTCAAAAGAAAAATGTTTACGATCGAAATTCAAAACACAATTGTCACAAATACTGCAATGCCTAAATTTAAAAAAAATTAAAATAAATTAAAAAAATTATAGACTAACGAACTACGAGGCGGTCTAAAAATTTTACAGGTAATACAAAATTTGACTAGAACACCGCAGCCATTAATGTTAACTATCCTTTCATTTAGCAACTCTCGTTCTTTATTAAAAGAATTATATTTATTTTTATTTAAAATTTAATAAAAACCTTCAGGAGTCTTTGCCATCTTTTTTATTAGATTATACTCAGAAATCTCCGCTGCAGAAGCTCGTGGAATAATGCCAGGATCGGTGAATGCTGCACGAAGCATTGTTGATATAACGAGCAAAAAAAGAATAACCATAAAGATTGGAACGAAAAGACCGATTTTGATTGTTAGAAATGGAAGGCTTAAAGAATTATATCGGTTGGAAAGATCGTTTTTGGTTATTATTGCTCTTCCTAAATGCTGGATACTGCAAAATTCAAAAGGTTCCGGGAACAAGTCATCCATGCCTAAAGTGCAAGATGTTAAAATGGAGTGGGTGTATTGAGTGACCTCTTCTTACATTAGCAGAACAATCAAGCTTTTAATTTTAAAAAAATACCAAAAAATGTAAAACATGCACATCACCAATAGCAGAAGGGAGAAAGTAAACATAAACAGTAAGTTTTGTCGACTAGATACACACCTATAAACAAAAAACATGAAAGTATTCAAACAAAATAACAACACCTTCCATTTAAAAAGAACTTATTCCTGCCTTGATGTTCTTGCCATTTACGAGTACATCCCACAGAAGGCATTAGAGAAAGGTGATATACAAAAATTAAATCAAGTAATTAAAAATCAAACATTTGTTTTTCTAATAGGTATTTCAACCAAATTTTAAGGGGTCAAAAAAATAAAAACAAAAATTCTAAATACATTTTACACAATAAAAATATGCGCACAATAATAGTCAATCAATCTCACAAACGATCAAAAAATCAATCAATGGTGCATTTCGTTCATAATTCATGAATTCTAAATTTCTTTGATCAGTCAATTTGATGCCGCGTTTGAAAATAATTGAGTGGTTGGAATAGAAATTCTACAATTCATCTTTGGAAGTTGATGTTGCTGATGATGGCGCTGCTTATGTTGATGATTTCGTTGAACAGGCTGTTGATCGGTGCCTCCATGCGAGTAAATGTCATGTCTACCTAAAACCGACAAAAATAAAATTTTTATAAGAGAATAAATAAATACAATGTTGTGCAAGCTCCAAACGAATGAAACAGTCTAAGCCATCAGGCAATCTATATGGGACCAAATGAGGATTCAAATGCAGCTTAAATCTGTCCGTCACGCTATAAAGAGAAAAAGTTAGGCATTTTTGAAAAATCAAAATCAACTCACTAATTCATTGCACTGTCATCAAATTGTGGCCGCTTTTGCGTTGGACTTTGAGGGATTGGACGCACATAGAAACGATTTTTCGCACTTACCCCTTTGAACGGCAATGGTCGAGACTTAATCATCTCTTGAAATTCCTCATCATGCATTGGCACAACATTCAGTGGAGGGAAAACAAACTTAAAAAATTAAGGTTTATACTAAGAAAGAGGTAGTAAACCTTGAATTTAGTAAGCAATTGATCACCGTTTGGTGCGACTGTATCTACTGTTTTGATGACTCGTGCCGTTGGAATACTTTTAAACAGTCCGACACACTGGTCTACAGGTATGCAATAACCAACAATTTGTTGAATTCCTCAAAGAATTTTAAAATAAATTATTATCGAAACAAAAAAGGCTATTTAAGACTGGACATTCAAACGAGAAACTAAAAAATTTCCTCACCGTCGTGCAAATTGAAGATTCTAATGTGTTGGCCATGAGTAGTGGGAATTGAACATGGATCGACCATCAAAAGAAAAGCAGAGTTCATTTCTTTCATAAATAATTCAAATAAAAATTCAGTTTCAGTCGTCCTAATTGAGCTTCCAAAAAGTGAATGAAGGGCTAAATAAATTTCTAGCAGTATATTAAAGAAAAAAGTTATAATTGAAAAGCAATGAATGAATAAAATAAAGAAGAAATTAATTTAATTTAAATATGACAAAAGTCGAGATTTTCAACAGATCGCCAAAAGATTACTGTAAATTTGTGTTAAAACAAAATTTAATCGAATTCGAAAGTCTGAAAATCTAATTTTTAAGGATGTGATTGTGGATTTAGTCCTATTACTTCTACATATGGCCTAGAAAACTATGTACGCAAAATCATAAGCGCATATATTCATCGGAAAAGTTAATTTTTGTTAGATCATTTTTGTAAACTATTGGTGCTATTTGAGTCTTACGTACTAAATTTTTCGGGTTGTTTCATACATTAATTAAAATTCTACTACTATTAAATATTTATCAACTTTTAATTGCAGATTTTGTTTACTTAAAAATAATCTACATATTTTTAATTTATGGAGAAATATCCAAATTATGTACCCCCTTTGCCAGTTGGATTTGGTTGGAGTGAAGATGAGGAGGATGATTTTACTGACCAGCCTTCTTCTACTTACCAACTAACAACTCCTTCATTTTCGCATTTTCAATTAGAACCAAATACTTCATTAAACAACAAAAATAATTTAAATAATGGCTACAACACTTCAAATAAAATGTTACAAATTGAAGAATTGGTTGAGAAAAATAGGCAAGCTGATCAACGTATTTTTTTTTAATTTTAAGAGAATTTTTTCATTATTTTTTAGAAGATTTAATTAATTTGGAACAGTCTGGAATTGTTATTTCATTTGAAGAAAATACTAGTCTTTCTTGCCCTTCTTCTACTAGTCCTTTAAATTCTAATTTAAAATATCACCCTCTACCTTTACAATCAATTGCCTATGATTATACTTGTCTTCCTTTGCGAATAGTGGAGCAAGAACGTAAATTTTTACCTTTGGTTAGTTTAATTAACTGTTAAATTTTGATAGTATATTTTTCTTTTATTTTAATGAAATTTTAGAAAATAAAATTCTAAAAACTATAAAATTAAATGATTTGCATTAAGACTAAAATTATACCAATTTTTATTTAAAAATATGTAAATTATTTTTTAAAAATTTTAGATTGGAGAAATGAGCTCTCCTTTTCTTCGGCCAATACTTGTTGATGGAATTGGATTAATTAAAGCTTATTGGGAAGGTTGTAGTGAAGATGATGAGGATGGAAATAATGGCAATATTTCTTATTTACGAGATGATGATAGAAGGTTTTTTGAATAAATTTTTGAAGTTTTTTTATTTTTTAAATTTTTCCTTGAATTTTTTAGTCAAAAAAATAGATTTTTGTTATTCACCAAAATTAATTTTTTTCCAGTTTCCCAATAATTCCAATTATTCGATGTTTATTTTACTGGATTTCTCGTGGCCATTTAACAAAGCTTTGCTTCCCAATCGATTATAACCCAATTGCGAATCGACAAGAATATGCTGTAAATGATCAAAATCTTAAAACTTTAAAACAATTGGAAACTTTTGGAATTGCTTTATTTTTTGATTCTAATTCTGTTAATTGGTATTTTTAAAAAATATTATTTTAATATTAACAAAATTATTTTTAGGTTTGCAGATAAAAAAGATTCAATACGCGCTTGTTTAATTACTTCTATGGTCCATTATGTAGAGGGAATGCCTTCTAGTCTTCGACGACAAAATTATAGCTACAAAACTTGGAATGAGACCCATATGGTTAGTTGAAGTTGGGCGGGATCTTTTCCCGATAGGGTTCCTGTTATTTTTGAACCGGGAAAATTGATTTTTATTTTAAGTAATCCAGTAAATCCCATTCATATATACTGATCATTTTTCTCCAAAGAATTTACTCAACCATTAAATAACATAACTTTGATCCGATTTAGTATCCTAATGTTTTTGTCTTACTTAATTTTCATATAAATTTTGGTTGTTAAAATTGAAAATTTTTTAAACTAATTTTCAGTGTTCAGAACGTACTTTGCAGCCTTATTATGGTCCTAGAGGTGATTTAGTATTTTTCTCCCCAATCAAAGGAGTTAAAAAAGAATTTGTGACAGACACTGTTCTAGATAATGATATAAAAACTGAAGAAGAATTTAAACAATTTGAACGTTTTCAACTTCGATTTATTAATCAAGTTTTTTTAAATTTTAATTTAAAATTAATTTATTCTAATTAATTTAAGGCAAAACATTTAAAAATTCTTTATGATTTACTTCCAAAAGAAAAACGGGCACAAGAAGCACATGTAATGGTTGCTTTATTGAATAGACTTGAATGGCATTTAACTCATTGAAAAGTATTTGATATATTTTTAAAAATTTAATTACGAGTATATATTTAATGCAAATAATTTACATTTTTGATTTTAAAATTATTTCTAGATTTTTTTACATAAAAATTTTATCACTAGATTTAAATGTAAAGGAAGAATTAAGGAGTAATCAAATACGAATATTACCAAATAAAAACCCAATGAAATTAAAATATTTATTCAAAGTAAGTAAAAATACTTAAAAAATATAAATTCTCTATTATAAATAAAATTTATTTATAAAGTCAATATAGAAATTAAAACTAAATTAAGAACCATATATTTTTAGTGGCCGTATGAAGAAGAGGTTAAGTCAATTTAGAGAGAAGCAATACGTTTCTCTTGGTCATTTAATTCATTGCGGATTTTCTCTGGAAGGTCAGAATTAACCTAAAATTATGGGAACTTTTTCGGGGAAAATTAAAGAATTTTACCTGTTCCTCGAGGAATTTTCTAACTTCTTTAGAATCTTCATTCCAATAGTTGGGAGGTAAAGACATTAATTCTTCCCTTAAAAATTTTTTTGATAAAAAATTATCCAGATTCGTATTTATGTAATATTACAGTCGAACCCCATTTTTAGATAACTCTAAATTAGATAACTCTCAATAATCCTCAATTTGGTGGCACTAACAAATAAGTGGATATCCAAAAATCAGGTTCGACTGGATTTAACCAATTCTTTTGGATTTATTATTTTACCAATTAATCTCTCCAAGTCCATTCAAATTTAAAGAATCCTTTGTTGGAATAGTTCCGATAGCTGTTTCCTAATAAATAATTTTTTAAAAATATTTTCTTTAAATTTTTACAATTCCAATTCCATTATCTCCATCAAGACGTCTAACAATCCAATCAATAACTCGAATATTTTCACCATATCCTGGCCATAGGAATTTTCCTTGGGATGATTTTCGAAACCAATTGACCTTTAAAAAAGAGAGAATTTTGTTGTTTTATTTAAATAATTTACATGAAATATTTTAGGCATTTTACGCCCAGGCTTCTTCAAATTACACCAATGCTC